GTAACCTCCCCTCCACCCGCGGTTGCTCCCCACCTGCCACCCCCCCTCCAGAAACCAAAACCAAGCCGGCCAGCCTTTCTGCTCAGCTCGCTTGGCTTATCCGGGCAGAAGGAATCCGTGTGCCTGCTGCAGCACAGGGCGGAGGGGCCGGGTTAAACCCTCGATGCGTTACACTGTTGTGAAGTCAGCCGGCTGCTGTCTGTACTGTGAGTGGGGCTCTTCTGGGTCTGGTTCCAGCCATCGGGGTCAGATGTGAGCTACCAAGCCGGCCAGCCTTTCTGCTCAGCTCGCTTGGCTTATCCGGGCAGAAGGAATCCGTGTGCCTGCTGCAGCACAGGGCGGAGGGGCCGGGTTAAACCCTCGATGCGTTACACTGTTGTGAAGTCAGCCGGCTGCTGTCTGTACTGTGAGTGGGGCTCTTCTGGGTCTGGTTCCAGCCATCGGGGTCAGATGTGAGCTCTGAGCTTTTGCTTGCCAAGGCAGGACAGGTGGATCCCTGAGCCAACCTTGCAAAGAGAAGTCCCCTTGCTACTGGCCGCATGGCTGTGTACTGTTCTCCTGGGGCCTGACAGCCCCCCGACTGACCCCCACCAGATGGCAGCCTGCGGCAAGTGCAGCCGGGCTGATAGCCGAGTGCTATGATGTGCCGAGTTCGAGCACTCAGGGCACTCCAAGCCAGGACTGCTTTGCTGTCCCTCATTGAGTTAGTTCTCAGGGTTCACCGCTCGCTTGTCTGTCTGTCCGGGGTGGGGGGTCGGGTCCCTTTAAGCGCAGCCCTCGGCTAGCCTGAGACAGCAGCTCCACGCTCTAAGTCCTAACCTGATGCCCTGCCGGCGCTGCTTCCGACCATCCTTAACCCCGGTTCAGGGTCCACTCAATGTGGACATGCTAGTTCGAATTAGCAAAACGCTAATTCAAATGAGTTTTTAGGTCTAGATGCACTAATTCGAATTAGCTTTGTTTGAATTAACTAATTTGAATTAAGTTAGTTCGAATTAGTGCTGTAGTGTAGACATACCCTCTAAAAACCTCACTTTGGCCCCAACCTGTAGCATAGGGCGCCCTAAAAATTCTAATAGCCCTGGGACCCCAAAAGAGTTAATCCGGCCCTTCCTCCATCGAGCACTTCTCAGCAACAGGTCTGTTCTTGTAATATCAGCCCGTCCTCGCCAGGCTCCGTGGCCGTGCAAGCAGGCCTGTTTCTAGGGCGACCAGAAAAAAAATGTGAAAACTTGAAGCAAGGAGGGGTTAATAGGCACCTGTGCAAGAGAAGACACCGAATATCGAGACTGTCCTTTGACATTGGGACCTCTGGTCACCCTACACCTTTCCTACCTGGGCCTGATTTCTGCTACCAGCTTGAATGTTGATGGGCTTGCAAGGTGTCGACACTCCTCTAGTTCACCCCTGAGGCCTCAGACCAGGCCTCATGTCTCAAGCTGTCTCCTTCTACCACACAGAGGAGCCAGAGGGGTTTCCAGAGATGCATTTCTCCATGTCCGTTCAATGCTTCAGGGCTTGGGCATGAATGAGCACTTGGTTTGCCAATGGCACCTTCTTGCCCCTCTCTCCAGGTGGCCTCCCTCCTCCTGGAGAAGGTCCCTCCTCTGGTCAGTGTCTCTGCTTGGGATCCCCCTCCGTCCCTGTGATGCCACCTACCAGCCCCAGACCTAGCGTCTATTGATTCACCCGCCAATTTCCCCTCTTAACCATGAGTTCAAGAGATCCTCAAATCCTCCACAGTTCTTAAAATAGGATGCAGTTTCTAGGCCATGAGCACCTCACATGCAGGTGCAAACGTAACACCAGCAGACATGGGTCACTAGTAGGGGGAATCGAACCTGCGACTTTTGGAGCCTCTGCCACGTGAGCAAATAGCCCAGCTGGCTCTCAGGTAAGACCATAGAGCAGAGGCAGACTCATTTTTCTCCCCATAAGTGGTTTCAGTGCCACTTCATGGGACAGTGCACCACACCCAGCAAGTGTGTGGTTACACAAACATAAGAACGGCCAGGCTGGGTCAGACCAAAGGTCCATCTAGCCCAGTACCCTGTCTGCCAACAGCAGCCAGCACCAGGTGCCTCGGGGGAAGTGAACAGAACAGGGAGTCATCAATGTTCCCTGCCATGTCACCCATTCCCAGCCTGTGACAAGCAGAAGCTAGGGACACCATTCCTACCCATCCTGGTTAATAGGTTTTGATAGACCTATCCTCCATGAATTTAAAGGGTTTTAAAAAGAGCTAGATAAAGTCACGACCTTCACAACATCCTCCGGCGAGGAATTCCACAGGTTGACTGTTCACAGCACGAAGGAAACATAGAATAAAACATCATGTCACACATACTTACATCACATGAAATGCAATAGCTTCATAGGCCAGTTTACATTACCTGGAGATCTGGCTTCGTTGACCCCACTGGAGTCAAAGGAACTATGGTAGGTTTACGTATTTTGGGAATTTGACTCTGCTGACTTTACTAATACTACATTGATGGACCCCAGCCAGGGATCTGGCCCTCCGTATTGGTTCAGTCTCCTTGACGTACCTACAGCCAGTGTGAATTCAATAGCTTTCAAATCTCCATTTGCACCCACAGCCAGGTGAGTACTTTAGTAAATTATACTTTACTGAGAAAAAAAGTATAATTGTAAATATAGGCATGTATAATTGAAAGAAAGAAAGAAAGAAAGAAAGAAAGAAAGAAAGAAAGAAAGAAAGAAAGAAAGAAAGAAAGAAAGAAAGAAAGAAAGAAAGCTCGTTTTTTTGCCTGGTAGAAGTTAAACATCAGACACCGAAAATTTCAGCAACCCCGAATTCTTGCAGTTTCGTCCCCAGTGGGAATGAATCGCTCCTTAACTATTAAAAGTTGCACTGTTATAATTAACTCCCTGGGGCAAATTGCTCAATGTGCAGACTAGATGGAAACATTGGTCGCGTGTGTAGCTCTGATTCACTGGCAAAAGATATAAATGTGACATGAATTTTAAGGGCCAGTTGCCCAGCACACGTAAATCAAGGCAGCTCTGTGAAAATCCAAAGGCGAACATGATGAGAGACACTGGATCAAACTACATCATAGAATCCCAGAGCTGGAAGAGACCTCAGGAGTCATCAAGTCCAGCCCCCTGCCCAAGGCAGGACCAATCCCAACATCAGTTTGGGATGATGCACTGAATTTTCAGTGTGTGTCTCTGGTTCCTCCTTTAATAACCAACATCCGAGAGCAGTCTGAGCTCCGGGTTCCTTCTGCGGCTGCATCCCAGGACAGGCTCACGCAGTGCAGGGGAAGAGAAACCTCTGCTCACCCAAAGGTAACAATGTGTCGTGAATGAAGGGACAACCAGCTGAGCTTCTGGTGTTGCTAGGTTCTAAGTCAGCGTCGATTATAAATCAACAATGCTCCCTCTTCTTTTTCCACCCATGTGCAGAATAATGTTTGTGATGTGCACCGAGGCAGGTGCGGATGTGCACTACCAGTAGAAATAATTGCTGTCGGGGGGGTGCTCTGCCCATCAGCTTACAGGGAACACTGCCTCCTGGGGCTGTAAGTATATACATTATTCATCCAATACCTCGGGACACCCCGTGAGCCTGTGACGTGCCTTGTTTTTAGCCAACGGTCTTGCCAGGGATGCGGCCATCGTGTGAGATCCGGGGGAGGGATCCCCTGCTGGTGGGTGAGACTCTCAATTTCTCATCTCAGTTAGTCGTTCACCTCTTACCTAAACCTGTCCAAGGAGAGGAGCAGGCAGCTGTGATGCGGATTTCCCTGTCTGCTAGGAAAGGGAGAGACCCAGCAACTCAGGGATACGATGATGGGCTGGAGAAACAGCTGATGGTTAACACAGAGAGGAGGCATTATCGATACACATAGGTAGTGACTAACGAATCCTGGATCATTCAGTGAATCCTAAGCAGAGACATTTCCACGGAGACCAGCACAGTACGTTTGCTGTTGTGATTGTGTATTTGGGTTTTAATATACGGGGCACACTGAGGAACAAAACTCTGGGTTCCTTTCAAAATGTGATCAGTGTTTAACGCGGGGGGTGAGTAATCAGTGGAAGGGTTTAAACAGTGGAACCGTGGAACGGTTCCATCACGGGCAGCTGTGTTATCAAGAGTGGAGGGGTTTTTTTTGGCTAGAAGTTCAACTATAGGAATTAGTTTGGGGCTTGGTGTTATCATAAAATCATAGAATACTAGGACTGGAAGGGACCTCGAGAGGTCATCGAGTCCAGTCCCCTGCCCCCATGGCAGGACCAAATACTGTCTAGACCATCCCTGACAGACATTTAGAGGGCAGCTAATCACAATAGAGTCAGTAGCTGTGACTCGTGTGTAGCGGCATCCCTGGTCTCTTATAACCAAACGGTTCTCTATTGGCTCACCAGGGCAATCGTTGCTCCGAAGAGTGTTGGAGTTGGGCTGGAATTTGTTCTGGTTTTGCTCTGCCAAGCCTCACCTAGGACCTATTGGTGGCAACAGACACCATCCTCTGAAGCTGGTTTACATTGGCGTGATTATGTGACGAGTAGTAGACTGATTCTCGGTGGAGAGGAGCCCTCTGATGCAGCTGCCCTTGTCCTTCCTCTGCAGGTGACACGCTCTGAGGACAGAGATGACGAATAGAACCACCATGGCTGAGTTCCTTCTCCGGGGACTCTCTGATGTCCGGGAGCTGCAGATTTTACACTTTGTGGTGTTTCTAGTAATTTTCTTGATGGCCTTGGTAGGAAATCTCCTCGTTATCACTCTCGTAGCCCTGGACTATCGCCTTCACACCCCTATGTACTTCTTCCTCATGAATTTGTCCATCCTAGATATTGGCTCCATCTCCGTCATCGTCCCCAAGTCCATGGTCAATTCGCTATTGAACACCAAGACGATTTCTTATCCGGGCTGCGTAGCCCAAGTCTTTCTCTTCATTTTATTTACTGCAACGGACTTTGCTTTCCTCACAGTCATGGCTTATGACCGATATGTTGCCATCTGTCAACCGCTGCACTATGAGAGAGTGATGAACAGGAAAGCTTGTGTCCACATGGCTACCAGCGCCTGGATCAGTGGTATTGTCAACTCTGTCCTGAATACTGGGAACACATTTGCAATTAACTTCTGTGGAGGTAACACGGTGGATCAGTTCTTCTGTGAAATCCCTCAGCTCCTCAAGCTGGCCTGCCCTGACTCAGATATCACTGAAGTTGGTGTTATAGTCTTCAGTACGGCCTTATTTTTCAGCTGTTTTGTTTTAATAATATTGTCGTACATTCAGATCTTCAGAGCGGTGCTGAGAATCCCCTCGGAGCAGGGCCGGCACAAAGCCTTCTCCACCTGCCTCCCCCACCTCGCTGTGGTCTCCTTGTTCCTTTGCACCGCGTCCTTTGGCTACCTGAAACCCCCCTCCAGCTCAGCATCACGTCTGGACCTTGTGGTGTCTGTTCTCTACGCCGTGGTTCCTCCCGTGATGAATCCGGTCATCTACAGCATGAGGAACAAGGAGCTCAAAAGCGCCTTGAGGAAACTGATTGGGTGAATGTTATCCACCAAGAACAGGCTTCTTCTGGGTGTTTTTATGGATATTGTAGACTACAGAGTTTTGTAATGTTTTATGTAATGTGCTTAATGGATAGCATGATATTGGGGACTTCTAACTTCAGTTCTTTGTCTGACCGCAAAGAGACAGGCAGCAACAGCAAGGTCTAATCACAAAGCTCTTTATTGAAGAGTCCACACGACAATAGAGAGCAGCCCGTCTCTACAGAGAACCAGACCCCAATTTCTATAACAAGTGGGGTTATATATACAGTTCTGTCACGTCATCGACTATTTACTTAAGCAATCCACTCCCCTTTGTTAGTTAGAAACTTCTAGCATGCATGCGTACCTTGCCAACTATACAAGGTGGCCTTGATATGATACATCAGCAACTTTCTTATTAAGACAGAAGGCGAGTACCATACAACCAGGAGACAGGGAGTTTTCTTATCAATTCCTTAAGCAAGCTGTTCAGCTCAGCAAGTACAAAGATGCAGCTGTTCGCTTTTCTCATTCCCTCGCTCAACTCATGTCTCAAATTTTGTTCAGGGACTACCCAGAGCCCTTTGCTGGACTCTTCTCAGTCTGTCTTAGCATAACCGCCCTAGGCCCAATCTTCTGTGGCCTAACAATGAGAATGAATGTTACAAGAACTCTAACTCTGCCAGCCGCCCTTCTCTGGTTAGCAGGGAAGAACAGTCTTCTAGGCCCTTAGGGTACGGCTAGACTGCGGGGGGAGGGTTCAGAACCCCCTGTATTCCTTGTTCTACGAGGAAGAAGGCCCAGTCAAGTTGGGCCAAATGTCGGAAAAGCCTCTTCCGACAAAAGAATCGGAAAAAGGCATGCAAAATACGGAGCGCATTTTGCGTACCTTTTTCCTAAAAAAACTTGTAATCTAGCCTTACTCTTAGTAGAGATCCATCAGGCAAACTACTTGTGTTTGTATCTGATGCTGGGACAGATAGAGATCAGAAGGATTCCTGTAATTCATCATGATAACATTGTTGGTCTTAGGAGTAATTAGAATATAGACTGTGCCATAAAGAAAATATAATGAATGAATTAAAAGTCTGTACTAACAGTAGCTTTGTATTAGGAGTGAGATTGATACCTTTTGTATAATCAATGTATCCCTTTGTCCCTTGGGTGAGCTGATTGTGTAGTTCCTGGGGAGGGGGAGTGACTGGAGTATGAATGTTTGAAACTGTTGGGCCTCTGACTTATCTCTACAAAGTCCAGACAGTGGAAGAGGGGAGGAAGATGGAAGACTCAGCGGCATCAACGTACCATAAATTGGACCCAATACAACGCAGACCAACGGAAGACATATGGGCAGCGTTGGAGTGTTAAGAAGCAAGTGCTCTGTTACAAACAAGCCAGCCTTGAAATAATGCTGGGAAGAAGACACCAATACACTAATGTCAGAGTAAAGAATAATTTGTCTGGAAATGGGTGACGGGGAGGGATCACGTGAGGATTATCTGTTGTGTTCCTTCCCTCTGGGGCATCTGGTATTGGCCACTGTTGGCAGACAGGACCCTGGGCTAGATGGACCATTGGTATGACCCAGTATGGCCGTTCTGTTGTTCTCAGATAAACAGATATTAAGCAGAATGAATGGTGATTGATTGATTAAGAGCTGATGCAGCAAAATGCATGGACCTGGATGGGAGAAAAGTCCTATAAAAAATAGGGTGTCTTGCACAAATCTCTGGGGCTCGTCTTCTCAACACTGGAGTGTTGACCCCCACTTCTGCCCCTCATGTTTAACTCGCCTGGCCCATGAGATATTGTGAGTAACAGCCTGGAAACTTTAAGCAAAAGCAAGATGGCATTTGTGTGTTTGTGTGTGGGTATGTGTGAATATACATATAAAAGCGTAGTAATACACTGTCAATAAATGTGGCATTTTACCTTATCCCCCTAAAAAGATACGGTGAAATAATTTCATGTATAACAAGATAATCAGCTCATGGCATTATTTTCTGCCTGGGAAGATGTACTCTCTCTTTCTGTTAAACACTACATTTACACTAGTAATCCAAACTGTGCTCACCAGTCACTGGAATTAGTCTACATTAACACCAATGTCAATTAGATTATATTCTAATCTAATCTAATCTAACCTAGTTAGTCCAATCCATTTCCCACACTCTATCTATCTATCTATCTATCTATCTATCTATCTATCTATCTATCTATCTATCTATCTATCTATCTATCTATCTATCTATCTATCTAATAATATTATGCCAGCAAGTTAAGGAAGTATGGAATGGATAAATGGACTGTAAGATGGATAGAAAACTGGTTAGATAGTCGGGCCCAATGGGTAGAGATCAATGTCTTGATGTCTGGTTGTTGGTCGTTTTCAAGTGGAGTGTCCCAAGCATCTAGGGCCGATTTTCTTCAACATCTTTATTAATGACCTGGATGAGGGGAGGGGTGCACCCTCAGTGAGTTTGTGCATGACACTAAGGGCATGTCTAAATTACATCCCATTTTCGATAAAGGGATGTGAATTAGACATATTGAAATTGTAAATGAAGCCAAGATTTGAATTTCCAGTGCTTCATTTGCATAATGGTGGCCTCTGTCAAGACAAGGATCTTTAGACAGAAATGCCCTGTTTCGAAAGATTCTGTACACCTCAAAAAATGAGGTATACAGGATAAGAACATAAGAACGGCCATACTGGGTCAGACCAAAGGTCCATCTAGCCCAGTATCCTGTCTGCCGACAGTGGCCAATGTCAAGTGCTCCAGAGAGGTTGGACCGAAGACAATGATCAAGCGATTTTTCTCCTACCATCCCTCTGCAGCCTCTGACAAACAGAGGCCAGGGACACCATTTCTATCTCCTGGCTAATAGCCTTTTATGGACCTAACCTCCATGAAATTATCTAGCTTCTTTCAAAATGGGGCACTTCTGTTGAAAGATCACCGTCTTGACCAAATTTTTTTTGAAAAGCGGCTTTTTAAAAAAAAGCCGTGGCTGCCATTATGCAAATGAATCACGGGAAATTAGAATCCCCGCTTCATTTACAATTTTGATATGTCTAATTTACATCTCTTTATCAAAAAGGGATATAGTTTATACATACCTTATGCTAGGGGAGAGATAGATACACTGGAGGACAGGAACAGGGTCCAGAGTGACTTAGACAGATTAGAGGATTGGGCCAAAAGAAATCTGATGAAGCTCAACAAGGACAAGTGCAGAATCACTGCTACAGGCTGGGGACCGACTGGCTAAGCAGCAGTTTGGCAGAAAAGGACCTGGGGATTGCAGTGGATGTGAAGCTGGAGATGAGTCAACAGGGTGCCCTTGTAGCCAAGAAGGTTTAGGGCATAATGGGGTGCATTAGGAGGAGCATTGCCAGCAGATCTAGAAAAGTGATTATTCCCCTTTATTCGGCTCTGGTGAGGCCACATCTGGAGTATTGTGTCCAGTTCTTGGCCCCCCACTACAGAAAGGATGTGGACGCATTGGAGAGGGTCCAGTGGAGGGCAACCAAAATGATTTGGGGGCTGAAGCACTTGATGTACGAGGAGAGGCTGAGGGATTTGAGCTTGTTTGGTCTGCAGAAGCAAAGAGCGAGGGGGGATTTGAGAGCAGCCTTCAACTACCTGAAGGGGGGTTCCACAGAGGCTGGACAGAGGCTGTTCTCAGTGGGGGCAGAACAAGGAGCAGTGGGAGAGGTGTAGAAAAACTATTTCCCAAGGAGAGTGGGGAAGCACTGGGATGGGTTCCCTAGGGAGGGGGTGGAATCTCCATCCCTAGAGGTGTTTAAGTCCCAGCTTGACAAAGCCCTGGCTGGGACAATTTGCTTGTTTGTGGCCCTGTTTTGGGCAGGGGGTTGGTCTCCTGAGTTCTTGTCCAACTTCATGATTCCATGATTTATGACCTGGGAAACTGGTTCACGTAGAACTCAAGCACCCCCAAACCTTTCTGTGGCTTTGCCATTTTAGCCCAAAAGACGAGAGAAAGTTGAAACCAATTGACCTATTCCCCATTTGTGACGCTGCCCCCAGGCTTCCCCTAGAGGCACCTAAATATCTGGGCCCTTCGTCACTTGGTTGTCTAAGGACTTGTCTCTATTTGAGATATAACAGGGTCATCACTGTGCTCTATTCCGTGCCTTTGTAGGGACCCTTCAGGGTTAGTATTTACACTCTCGTGAATACGAAGACCATATGTGCAATAATTATTTTGGGCCCTATTTTCAAACGTTGCTTTTAATTGGTCTTAATCCTGAAAAGTGACTCGCCTAGGCAGACAGTTCTACCCTGGAGGGCTGTGTCCAGACTCCATGCCTCCGTCGACGGAGGCATGTAGATTAGCCAGCTCGGAAGAGGGAAATGAAGCCGCGATTAAAATAATCGCGGCTTCATTTAAATTTAAATGGCTGCCCCGATCTGCCGATCAGCTGTTTGTCGGCAGATCGGGAGAGTCTGGACGCGATGCCCCGACAAAGAAGCCTTTCTTCATCGACACAGGTAAACCTGGTTTCACGAGGCTTACCTGTGTCGATGAAGAAAGGCTTCTTTGTCGGGGCATCGCGTCCAGACTCTCCCGATCTGCCGACAAACAGCTGATCGGCAGATCGGGGCAGCCATTTAAATTTAAATGAAGCCGCGATTATTTTAATCGCGGCTTCATTTCCCTCTTCCGAGCTGGCTAATCTACATGCCTCCGTCGACGGAGGCATGGAGTCTGGACACAGCCGAGGTGTCAGATTGTATTAGAGGTCATGGGCCATGTGTCAGTAAAGAGCTTGTGAAACCCACCTGTAGCTCAGCATCAAAACTGGATCTCTTGGTGGGTGTGCTCTACGCCGTGGTGCCTCCCATGATGAATCGGGCCATCTACAGCCTGAGAAATAAGGAGCTCAAATCTGTACTGAAGAAACTGATTGTGACATTTATTCACCAAGAATCAAAATGTCCATCACTGCTCCTTGACAGTGATTTCATCTTGCATGTTTTTATACATGTAACCAGTTGATGACAAAGTTACGTCCTTGAGATCGTGGGCTGTAATCCTTTTATGAGGTTATAAAATCAAGACCAACTCCACTCACATTAACGGAGCTAATTTGGAATTACACCTGCATAAATAAGATGAATGTCCATGTATGTCCACAAATCTACATACACACCCATTTCTCTGTCTGAAGGATTTGCATTGTGAACCTCACCATGCTATCTGAGCCTGTTACACAGAATACCAACAACCACAGCAAAGTCACAAGTGGACTTCATGAAGTCTCTGACTTTTCTTCTTTTGGAGGTTGGAGCATGCAAGTGTGTTTCTTTGACTGTTACTTTTTAATTTGATTTCATTTTATGGATTAATTGGTTGACATGTTGCTTTTTTCCAGGTGACTTAAGGGGTGGGGTAGGAATTTGCAGGGTGGGGTACGTTTAATTAAATGGGGGCATCAGAGGAGATGGCCAAATGTTCTTATCTTACCGTAAAGTCCCTAATTCTTGGCCAAACGGAGTGAGGCACGTGGACCCGCCTCTGATGTATCCATGTGTAGCCGGCTTGATCCCCAGAAGTGACACCGAATGAGTGGGGGTGATACAGGGGTTGTTGCTCAACCCTCCAAAGGGGCTGGATGCAAACCTTGCAGGGCAAAGCTAGAGGTTACAATGACATCACAAGGGCCTTTTGCAGCACCTCAGCTGATTGGTCAGAGGAGGTTGGGAGACGGTGACCTCACAGAGCGCCCGTGAGAACGGGCAGGTAAGAGTGGCTTTGTTGCCAGGAGTCTCCGAGCTGGGGTCTCTCGTTAGGGGGCTGAGAGAGAATTCAGGCTCATCTACCTGAGCTTGGGGAAGAGCCGTTTGGCAGTTCTCGTCCCTTTGCTCATCAATCCCTCGGGTGGGCTCCATGGAATTATGGGACCAACTTTTTCTGGGGTAAATTAGCATCAACCCCCTGAAGTCAAGCTCATCACCTGGCCCAGGATTGCTAAATTAGCTGAATTCAGCCTGACAGATTCAGAAAGAAAAAGATCAGTGGATAGTCTCATTGGGTATGTCTACACTACAAAGTTAATCCGAAATAACTGCTGTTATTTCAAATTAACTTTAATAGCGTCTACACAGGCAAATCGCTATTTCAAAATAAATTCAAAATAGCGGAGCCCTTACTTCAAATTTGGTAAACCTCGTTCTACGAGGAGTAACACCAAATTAAATAGCTATTTCGAATTAAGTGCTGTGTAGACGCTTGATTCGAAATAGGGGGCCTCCAGCCCTTCCCAGGGAGCCCTGGTGGCCACTCTGGGCACAACCAGGAAAACTTACTCTCCTCTCCCCCAGCCCCGGAGCCATTAAAGGGGTAGACCCTGGCCACAGGGCCTGTGCCAGCTCCAAGCCTGCCAGCCCAGAGCGAGCAGTGGCCACCAGGGCCCCTGACCCAGTGGCCCCAAAACATGAGCCAGAAAGCCACTGGCAGCCAGCCCTCCACCGCTCCCCAGGAGCAGTCTGCCAGCTCCCAGGAGCCTGACAGGGGCTGGAGAAGGTGGGCGCCTTCCTGGTCCAGGGTGGAGATCATGGACCTTATTCAGGTTTGGGGAGGATGCCCCTATGTCCATGATCTCTGCACTAGGCTGAGGAATGCAGCCGTCTATGGCAGGATAGCTGCCAGCCTGGCCACCAAAGGCCACATGCGAACCCAGGAGCAGGTTTGCATGAAAGTCAGCTTGGTCCGGCGAGACCCCCAACCCTGAGCCCTGAGCTTCCCCTCCCCCTTCTTCCCCTTGCTTCCCCTTCCAGCTCTCTCCTTCCAGGTTTCTCCCTCCCCTCTCTTCCCCTGAGAAAGGGAACCCTGAGAACTGTCTGTCCGGGGTGGGGGTCGGGTCCCTTTAAGCATGGAGCTGAGTTAGCCTGAGGCAGCAACCCCATGCACTAAGTCCTAATCTGATGCCCTGCTGCCACTGGTTCCTGCCAGCCTTAACTTCAGTTCAGGGTCCACTCAGGGTGGACGTGCTATTTCGAAATAGCAAAACGCTATTTTGAAATAGTTTTTGTGTATAGATGTGTTATTCCGAATTAGCTTACTTCGAATTATCTATTTTGAATTAAGTTAATTCGAAATAGTGCTGTAGTGTAGACATACCCTATAGTTTCTAATAGAGAGACTGACAAGTGGATTTGACTAGATAGAGAGATAGATAGAGGGGGTGTATGGGGATAGATAGATAGATAGATAGATAGATAGATAGATAGATAGATAGATAAAGTGTGTGGGGATAGATAGATTAGAGGTGGTGTATGAAGAAAGAAAGAAAGAAAGAAAGAAAGAAAGAAAGAAAGAAAGAAAGAAAGAAAGAAAGAAAGAAAGAAAGAAAGAAAGAAAGAAAGAAAGAAGTTGGTTCTTTCATCCTGATAGAAATAGACAATAATATGCAGAAAATCTTAGCCACACTGAATCTCTGCACTCTACAATTAATTGTTACACTCTACAATTAATCCCATGTGACAGAAACCAAAGACAGTGCAGACAGGCTGGGAACTTTTCTCTCCTCTCCAGTTCGGTTTCACAGGCAAAGAATGGGGATTGGAACCAAGGAACGGGAGCAATCGCCAGCTGGTGTCAATCAAAGTTCCCTGGAAACCAAAGGGCCATATCTTCCCTCAACAGGGACTATTCAGAGATCAAGGAGACTGCATCAAGGACACATAGGCTTAGGATGCTGCACTTAGCATCCCTTTGGCTGCTTCTTAGTGACCAACATCAAACACCAGGACTAGTCTGAGCTGTTGGATCCTCTCGGGGCCGCATCCCAAGAGCGGCTGGTGCAATGCAGGAGGTAAAAAAAAGCCTCTACTCTCCCAGAGCAGACTGTATAGGGTTAACAAAGGAGCAGGCTGTCCCAGGCCAGCTGGGGCTCTGGTGCACCTCGGCTCTGGGCTGTTCTCTGTCACATGCCTGTGCTACCCATAAATAGCTTATTCTGCAATATCCTCCCCAGTGCTCCTCAGCTCTGCCCTGTGGGTAGCCAGGCTCTTTCCGGGGATGTTGTCACAGCGGGAGATCCGGGGCAGGCGCTGATCCCCCTCTGCGGGGTCTGGGTCAGCAAGGGCAGGGCAGGTTGCTCCAGTGGTGAGATCCGAGCGGGGCTCACAGGCCTGGAGACTGGGCTCAGCTCCTCAGCCCCAAAGGAGAGACAGCCTGACGTGAGACCATGTTCACAGCCTGAACAAGCCGAGCGTGCTCTCCCAGCTGGAGGGACAGTGCCTCTTTCCTGCCTCCCTCCTGTTTAGTCCTGCAGCTGGCCTGAGATGGGAAAATACCATGGAGGGGCAGGGAACCAGCTGCTGGATAATCCAGGGACAGGACATTATTCACAGACAGGCAACAGGGGCAGAATCCTGGCGGTGAATTGTCTGCTACAACACAGGCTGGGAAACACCCCACAACACCTGGCACGGTAAGTCCATTCTTTCAATCCAACTGTGTTCAGTGTGAATTTCCCGGGCAGATTTCGGAATGCAACTGGGAGTGAGAAAGGGGGAGTCTTCATGACGTCTTTTACCTCTGTCCTACAACATCTGCAGTTGCTCTGAGATTTTTTTTCCCCCTCTTCCAGCAAACTTGTCATCAACATTTTGAAAACCAAACTTTTGTTTGTGTTCATTAAAAACCAGAGCATATCAGGGAAACCGCTGGCAATTGACATGGTCTCAGCTAAATTAAAGAAAGGAAAGGCTTTGCGTTTTGCAGTGCACAGCTTGTCTTTCAGCAATAAGAGACTTCCCCACAAGATCTCTAGAGTGCAAGCCCCAGTGTTTCTTTGATATAATTTAAACAAAAAATGTCGGGTTATCCCAGACTGGTAATTAGATCAAAATTGGGTGGGAGCATTGGTATAGTCCAATAATTAGAAAGTCTTATCCCAGTCGCTCTATTGCAATGTGTACATTGTCTGTTTCAAAGGGATGCTTGTTGAATGGTAATTGAGCAAGCAGCAAAGTTGGTAGCCCGCAGAACAGGTATCCAACATCCTAGTGCCTTAGATGGCGAACGAGAAATCGGTGCCCACAGCCAAAAACTGTCTCATTTAACTCTGCCCAAGGAGACAGAGAAAGTCAGTGAGATCAGCAGCTAGATATTTGGCTCCATATCCGTATGCCTCTCTACTGCTGCTGGCTAACTACAGATGCTGCAAATCGTGGCACCGAACATATAAGACACGGCACAACCCCCACAAAACCCACAGTGCCTGCAGAAAAGGCAAAGAATGGGAAGAGAAGCAGAATTACAGGGGGGGAAGTGACCAGCCCAGAGTCACATAACAGCTTAGGGGTCGTGGAGCCATCTATACCCATAAGCATAATACATAGTTCCTTAGGGCACCTGAAAATTTGGGGCACCAATGGGTCTGAATACTGTGTACAGATGTGGTCTCATCTCAAAACAGATATACTGGCATTAGAAAAGGTTCAGAGAAGGGCAACTAAAATGATTAGGGGTTTGGAACGGGTCCCATATGAGGAGAGATTAAAGAGACTGGGACTTTTAATCTTGGAAAAGAGGTGACTAAGGGGGGATATGATAGAGGTATATAAAATCATGAGTGGTATGGAGAAAGTAAATAAGGAAAAGTTATGTTCTTGTTCCCATAATATAAGAACTAGAGGCCACCAAATGAAACTAATGGGCAGCAGGTTTAAAACAAATTAAAGGAAGTAGTTCTTCACACACTGAATAGTCAACCTGTGGAACTCCTTGCCTGAGGAGGTTGTGAAGGCTAGGACTATAACAGGGTTTAAAAGAGAACTAGATAGATTCATGGAGGTTAAGTCCATCAATGGTTATTAGCCAGGATGGGTAAGGAACGGTGTCCCCGGCCTCTGTTTGTCAGAGAGGGGAGATGGATGGCAGGAGAGAGATCGCTCAATCATTACCTGTTTGGTTCACTCTCTCTGGGATGTCCGGCATTGGCCACTATCACCTTTGGTCTGACCCAGTCTGGCCGTTCCTATGTTCTTAGTGTCAGTCCATACAATTCTTCCTCTCCTTGGTCTGTGGTTTCATTTCCTCCTGAGAGTTAAAATTGAAGAAACCTGCCTGAGCGATTAGCAGAACCTCAAACCCGTGAAAGAGCCGTTCAAGCGGTAATGAAGCCATTTAACAAGAATTTGCCAGCCTCAGGTGTCTCCTGCCCGTTTCTAAATTTACTGTGCAAGTCATCCAGACCTTAGTTTAAAATGTGCTTTAAAAAGATTTCATTAGTGCGCTGGTAAAAATCATAAAATTACAGCTCTAAAAAACTCACCACTCTGCTGTCCCAGGCTGCCACTGGGCACCAGTTAACAGGACTGCGTATGGCCCCATGAGTCCTAAGGACATTGCTGAGTGGCAGACAGAACAGTTCCCAGATCTCCTGACAGCCACCAATCTGCACAGGCATGAAGGGACAGAGGCAAAGGACACAGCAGAGAGTTAGCTCGTTGTGTTACTGTCAACCCACAGGGGTAGGGCCCGGCAGGGTTGTGGATTTACTTCAAGACAGAGTCAATTAGAGAGAGTTGCTTTTATTAATCTCACTGCGTCGCTGCTATTACAGGCTTAATACTGCCAGATAGTTACAAAGCTACTGCAAAGTAATAAGCCAATAAGCTCCGGCAGAGCAGTGCATAAAAGCGAGTAATAGACACTTGGAAATGCTTACGCCCCTTCAGTCTGCAGGAGATCTCATCCTGGTCACCTTGCACCAGGCCACAGTAGACACAGCTCCAGTTGGGGGGATCCAGGGCACCCTCTGAGGTCCGGGTCCCTGGTGAGACTCACTGGCCACTGCACTCCCTATACTAGCTTACACTACAGGGCTATGTCTACACTGCTGTTCATGCACAAAAACTTGCAGAGCGTCTACACTGCATGCGTGTTCTTGCACAAGTAAATTTACAGTACAGAGTCGGAAAACAGGGCTTCTTCTGGAAGAGTTATTCCTCTCCCCATGAGGAATAAGCCCTCTTGTGCAAGAGCTCTTCCACAAGAGGGCAGTGTAGGCAGGTAACATGAATTTCTTGCACAAGAAACCCTTATGGCTACAATGGCCATCAGAGATTTCTTGTGCAAGAGAGCATTCACACAGCCATGGACATTCTTGTGCAAAAGCACATGGCCATGTGGACTCACTCTTGTGGAAGACCTTTTACACGAGAACTCTTGTGCAAAACAGTCTTGCACAAGAAGTTTGCAGCATCAACATAGCCCAGTAGTTTACCGGGTGTGCGCGTACTTGGCTCAACGCCATTCTGATCAGGAGCTGAGACCAATGTCAAACTTGTTTACTGCTTAATAGTTTCCCAGCTCAAGGCATGGGTTAAAGCTGATAAAGTCCAGCTGCCATTTGCACTTGCAGAGTCCCAGGCTATGCTGAGCTGGGTACAGCAGGGATGAAAACTCCCATCCCAGGCCTGCTAAGCTGTAGAACCCACATATGACTTTTATGACACAGAGAGAGAAGTGAGATCCTGTGTCATAAATAAGTTCAAAGGCTGCAGGACACTCATGCGGTGCTGCAATGGAATCTGAGTGATGAGCTGCTGTGCGGAATACTGAGTCACTGGGTGCCATTTCCCCGGAAAATGGTTTTCAGGCACTTTTCATATTTTAACATTGTAATTTCATACCTGTGTCCAGAGCCTGCTGTTTGCAGCAAGAAGGGATCTGTCCCCAATAGAGCTGTGGCATTGGCCCTGAGCTTTGCTCCAGCCAGACGCAGCATTTTATTCAGCCACGTCCTGTGCCCGATCCTCAGATGATGCAAATGGACACAGCTCCATGGACTGTATGGAGCCAGGACAACTGACACCCGTGTGGTAACTCACTTCTCCTAGTGAGAAGGTGGGACGGGCGCTGGGAATGGCGGACACACACAGTGATCAACGGCGCGATGTCAGGTTGGCGGTCGGTTTCTAGCAGAGTGCTCCAAGGATTGGTTCTAGGGCCGCTTTTATGCAACATCCTTATTAATGACCTGGATGAGGGGATGGATTGCACCCTCAGCAAGTTTGCGGATGACACTAAGTTAGGGGGAGAGGCAGATGCGCTGGAGGGCAGGGATAGGGTCCAGATTAGAGGATTGGGCCAACGGAAATCTATTTCAAGAAGGACAAGTGTAGAGTCCTGCACTTGAGACAGAAGAATCCCAAACATTGTTACAGGCTGGGGTAGCAGTTCAGTAGAAAAGGACCTGGGGGTTACAGTGGATGAGAAGCTAGTCAACAGGGCGCCCTCGTAGACAAGAAGGCGAAAGGTATATTGGGGTGAATTAGGAGGAGCATTGCCAGCAGATCCAGAGACGTGATTATTCCCCTTTATCCGGCTCTGGTGAGGTCACATCTGGAATATTGTGTCCAGTTCTGGGGCCCCCCTGCCACTCTAAAAAGGATGTGGACGCATTGTGGAGGGTTCAGCAAAGGGCAACCAAAATGATTAGGGGGCTGGAGCCTGAGGGTATGTCTACACTACAGCACTATTTCAAATTAACTTAGTTTTTGTGTATAGATGCATTAATTCGAATTAGCTTAATTTGAATTAACTATTTCAAATTATTTCAAAATAGTGTTTTGCTATTTTGAAATAGCGCTTCCACACTGATTGGACCCTGAACCAAAGTTAAGGAACCAGTGCCAGCAGGGCATCAGGATAGGACTTAGTGTGTGAGGCTGCTGCTTGAGGCCAACTGAGCTCCATGCTCAAAGGGACCCGACTCCCACCCCGGACAGACAGTTCTCAGGGTTCCCCGCTTGCTTGTCTACCTCGATGAGGGACAGCAAAGCAGTCCTGTCTTGGAGTGCCCTGAGTACCCGCATGCAGGACACCACGGCACTCGGCCACATGGAGCCAGAGTTGCCCCGGGCATGCCAGTGTGTCTCGTGGGGTTGTTGCCATCAGCCTGGCTGCACTTGCTGGAGGCTGCCATCCGGGGGAGTCCATCAGGGGCTGTCAGGATCCAGGAGGTCCTGAGGGAGAGTCTCCATCCGGAGGAGCCCTTAGAGCCTCCCCAGTCCTCCCCACTGGGGGCTCGTGCCCCATTCCTCCCTCACGTCCCTCCACTTACCCCTCCCTAGCCCCCCTCCTGATGTCAAATAAAAGACACGTATGTTCAAAAATAGAAACTGGGTTTATTGAACAAAACTGAGGGGGGGATGGACCTCTGGGGAGACTGGGAAAAGGAGGTGGGAGAGGGGAAGAGAGAGGGTGGAAGAGGTGAGGGGAAACCTGGGAGGAGGAAGCTGGAAGGGGGAAGCAAGGGGAAGAAGGGGGAGGGGAAGCTCAGGGCTCAGGGTTGGGAGTATCGCCAGATCAACCTGACTTTAACCTGGGTTCGCATGTGGCCTTTGGTGACCAGGCTGGCAGCTATCCTGCCAGAGACGGCTGCATTCCTCAGCCTAGTGTGAAGATCATGGACGTTGGGGGCATCTCCCCAAACCTGAATAAGGTCCATGATCTCCACCCTGGACCAGGAAGGCACCCGCCTTCTCCAGCCCGTCAGGCTCCTGGGAGCTGGCAGACTGCTCCTGGGGAGCGGTGGAGGGCTGGCTGCCAGTGGCTTGCTGGCTCATATTTCAGGCTAGTGTGGAGATCATGGACATTGGGGGCATCCCCCCAAACCTGAATAAGGTCCATAATCTCCACCCTGGACCAGGAATGTGCCCGCCTTCTCCAGGCCCTGGCAGGCTCCTGGGATCTGGCAGACTGCTCCTGGGGAGTGGGGGGGGGCTGGCTGCCAGTGGCTTGCTGGTTCATGTTTTGGGGCCACTGGGTCCCAGTGGCCACTGCTTGTTCTGGGCTGGCAGGCTTGGAGCAGGCACAGGCACTGTGGCCAGGGTCTACCCCTTTAATGCCTCCAGGGCTGGGAGAGAGGAGAGTAAGTTTTCATGGTTGTGCCCAGAGTGGCCACCAGGGCTCCCTGGGTATGGCCGGAGGCCCCCTATTTCAAATTAAATGTCTACACAGCACTTCATTCGAAATAACTATTTAATTTGGTGTTACTCCTCGTAGAACGAGGTTTACCAAATTCGAAATAAGGGCTCCACTATTTCAAATTTATTTTGAAATAGCGGTTTGCCTGAGTAGATGCTATTAAAGTTAATTCGAAATAAGGGTTGTTATTTTGAATTAACTTTGCAGTGTAGACATACGCTGAGGGATTTGGGTTTGTTTAGTCTGCAGAAGAGTATGTGTATGTGTGTGTGTGTGTGGGGAGAGAAGAGGGGGTGATAGCAGCCTTCAGCTTCCTCAAGGGAGGTTCCAAAGAGGATGGAGAGAGGCTGTTCATAATAGTGATGGATGGCAGAACAAGGAGCAATGGGCTCAAGTTACAGTGGGAGAGGTGTAGGTTGGCTATTAGGAAAAACTAGTTCACTAGGAGGGTGGGGAAGCACTGCAATCTGTTATGTAGAGAGGTGTTGGAATCTCCATCCCTAGAGGTTTTTAAGTCTCAGCTTGACAAAGCCCTGGCCGGGTTGATTATTCCCCTGCCCAAGACAGAACCAACTTAATCTTGATGACCTCCTGAGGTCTCTTCCAGCTCTATGATTCTATGAGAGATTGCTGAGGGGAATCAGGGCCAATCCATGTATTATTCTAATCCCCTCCCCTGTCTGTGTCCTTCCTTCCGCAGCCACCACTCTGTGAACTTAGGAAGAAAATGTCCAATCGAACCATCGTGACTGAGTTTATTCTCCGGGGATTCTCTGATGTCCGGGAGCTGCAGATTCTGCACTTTGTGCTGTTCCTGGTGCTTTACCTGACAACCCTACTGGGGAATCTTCTCATCTTCTCAGCCATTGTCCTCGACCATCGTCTCCACACCCCCATGTATTTCTTCCTGATGAACCTGTCCATCATTGACCTCGGCTCCATCTCTGTCATCATCCCCAAATCTATGGCCAACTCCCTCCTGAACACTACGGTGATTTCTTATTCTGGGTGTGTTGCCCAAGTCTTTCTCTATTTCATCTTTGCTACAACTGATTTTACCTTACTCACTGTCATGGCCTATGACCGACACGTCGCCATCTGCCACCCGCTGCATTACGAGAGAGTGATGAACAGGAGAGCCTGTGTCTACATGGCAGCTAGTGGCTGGATTGCTGCTATTGTCAATTCTGCCGTGCACACCGGGAACACCTTCACGTTACCCTTCTGCCAGTCCAACGTCATCAACCATTTCTTCTGTGAAATCCCCCAGCTCCTCAAGCTGGCCTGCTCCGACTCCTACCTCACTGAAGTTGGGCTTCTTGCCTTTAGTGTGTTTTTAGCTGTGTGTTGCTTTGTTTTTATCATTGTGTCGTATGTTCAGATCTTCAGAGCGGTGCTGAGAATCCCCTCGGAGCAGGGTCGGCACAAAGCCTTCTCCACCTGCCTCCCCCACCTTGCTGTGATCTCCTTGTTACTTTGCACTGGGTTCTTTGCCTACCTGAAACCCACCTCCAGCTCAGCAACAAATCTAGATCTCTTGATGGGTGTTCTCTACTCCGTGGTGTCTCCAATGATGAATCCGGTCATCTACAGCATGAGGAACAAAGAGATCAACACTGCATTGAAGAAACTTTTTCTGTGTAAGATTTTCTTTAAGAATGAACATGTTATCAGTCATTGACCCTGCATTTCCATTTTGCATATCTTTATAAATATCATGAGCTGATGAAAATGTTCTGTCATTGAGAACATGGGCTGTGATCTTTTTTGTGAAATATTTTTTGTGAAATGTGCCGCGGCGGTCAAAAAGGCAAATAGGATGCTAGGAATTATTAAGAAAGGGATAGAAAATAAGACCCAGAATATCTTCCTGCCTCTGTATAAAAATATGGTATGCCCACATCTTGAATACTGTGTACAGATTCTGTGTACAGATTTTGAGGTGGTCTCCTCACCTCAAAAAAAATACAGGACTATGTAGCACTTTAAAGACTAACAAGATAGTTTATTAGGTGATGAGCTTTTGTGGGCCAGACCCACTTCCTCAGATCAAATAGTGGAAGAAAATAGTCACAACCATATATACCAAAGGATGCAATTAAAAAAAAGTGAACACATATGAAAAGGACAAATCACATTTCAGAACAGAAGGAGGATGCGGGGAAGGTCTGTGAGTTAATGATATTAGAGGTGGGGAAAGGTAAATGTCTGTGAGCAGTGGTTGCCCTTGCAGACACCTGAGCACTGAACCTGCCAACAGCTCTGATCTGTCTTGGTGCACTTCCTGCTGCTATTTCTGCAGGCTGCCTTTCTGGCCCTGCAGGAGGAGGACCCCCAGCTCATGGTGGGGCAACTCCTCACCCCTCTCCAGGTGCCGTTCATGCAGCTGGATCCCCATTCGCCCTCCCCTGCACACCGTGCACTGCCGCTTCTGGCAACGGGACACCAGCTCCCACGGGTGGGATTGGATCATCCTGGAGTGGTGTGTTGCATTCCAGCGTCTGGTGCAGAGATCCTACAGGTTTTGCTCCTCACCCCAGATCTCAAGGAGAACTAGAATCTCCATGTCAGACCAGGATGGTGTCCTATTTCGGCTCTGGGCAGGATCCTGGAAGATGCTTAAAGATGCTTAAAGATGCGTGGCCATGCTCTCAGACGGCCTCTGCCCCCCACTCCTAAATGAAGGCCTCCCCCTTCCTCTCCATGATTTTGTGGAGAAGGCAGATATCACCTGGGGGATGTTCTGCTCCCCCACATCAAAGCGGGTCAAGAGGCACCTGAGGCGGCCTAAGGTGTTTTTGGCCTATATGTGGGCTCTGCCCAGGCAGACACTGAACCAGTCTTTGCCAGGTGTCCAGTGTAGGGCTTCATCAGCCACAGAATAAGGGGGTAGGCCACATCCCTCAAAATGCATCGCGGCATCTCAACATCCCTACCCCTGATGCATTCAGGGAAGAAAGTGCAGGCCTCCAGTTTCTGGAGTTGCAGAAGATGCGGGTGTCGTGCGCCTTTGCTGACCAGCTGATGAAAATGTCCTTAAACTGGCCATGGTGTTTGACCAGGGCCTGCAGAACCATAGAAAATACCCAGGAGCCAGGGGCCCAGATGGGGATGTGGGTTCCCTCAATAGCCCCCCTCCAAAGATGGGAATGCCCAGGGTGGCAAATCTGGCAATGCTGGGGTCCAGGTCACCCAGGCGGATAACCCTGCACAGCAGGATGGTGTTAATGGCCCTCTCCACCAGCAGAAGGAGACAAACAAAGAAATGAAATGGAAAATCAAAGGGGGTGCCTGAGCCCTTTGGAGGTCCTGGAGGACTCCCCCATCCCTCTCCCATGAAGCCCACCTCCTGGAAGGGCTGTGTGAGGGAGGGACTGCAGAACCCCCACCACCCTCAGCCCATGCCCCAGACACCAACGCCCCTTTCTGTATGGTCCCCCTTTCTAGTACTCCCCCCTCCAGGGACTGGAGCTGGAGAGCACCATACCTGTATGAGGAGGGCCCTGACCATCAACTTCCCCATGCTGAAATAGCTACCGGTCTGCTGGCAACTGTCTTGGATGGCAAGTTTCCAGATGCAATGGCGACCCACTTCTCCAGGGGGGTGGCAGGCCACATCTGGGTGTTCTGTTGTTGGCACACAGCTCCAAGAATGTCTCCTTTCCTCAGGCGGAAGTTTGGAGTCATTGTTGGTCATCTCACTATTTCATCACCAGCCGGACCAACTGGTGTCCAGCCTCCCGAACTGTCACTCCACTGTGGGGTGCGGTTGCAAGGGCCTTGCTCCTCCACATAACAAGAGGTTCTCAAGGATGAGCTCGGTATTCTATGAGGAATAACGCCTTTTGTCGACAGAGTTCTGTCAACATAAGGGCTACGTCTACACTGGCCCCTTTTCCGGAAGGGGCATGTAAATTTCATGAGTCGTAGTAGGGAAATGCGCGGGGGATTTAAATATCCCCCGCGGCATTTAAATAAAAATGCCCGCCGCTTTTTTCCGGCTTTTAAAAAAGCCGGAAAAGAGCGTCTACACTGGCCCCGATCCTCCGGAAAAAGCGCCCTTTTCCGGAGGCTCTTATTCCTACTTTGAAGTAGAAATAAGAGCCTCCGGAAAAGGGCGCTTTTTCCGGAGGATCGGGGCCAGTGTAGACGCTCTTTTCCGGCTTTTTTAAAAGCCGGAAAAAAGCGGCGGACATTTTTATTTAAATGCCGCGGGGGATATTTAAATCCCCCACGCATTTCCCTACGACGA